GAATGACTTCATTTTCTTCTTCCATATCACTTTCTTTCTTTCTTTTTCTTTTTCACAGTATTCCAAAGGGAAGCGACATTTTCATGAAAGAGAAACACCCTCGTTTATTCCTTTCAACCCTTCTACCTTCGAATCTTTCCTTCCTACACTTTCCACTCCTCCCCCTCCCTCAGCTCATCTCTTTTTCTTTCTGTTTTCAATCATTTTCTCGATCATTTTTCACGATCAACGATGAGCCTTTTTTTTCCTTTCGTTTATTCGAAGATGAAAGTATATATATATATATATATATAATATCGTGGAGACTTTGCTGATCCGCCATATATAAATGTATACACGCTTCATTTTCTTTAAGAGAGTTATCGATAACGTTCATTTTCTTTTTCTCAAATATCCACAGCCACACTACTACTATCTTACCTTTTTTCTTACTCAACTTCTCGTATGTTTTTTTCCTTTTTTATTATTTTGTGTGTGTGTGTATACTTCCTTCTTAATTTCTTTTCTTCATTGTACGATCGTGTCCTCGTATATTTTTCTTTTCGTATTATTAATATTGAAAAAAAAATTCGTTCAATACGTATTAACAAATCACTCGTTCTCTCTCTCTCTCTCTCTCTCTCTCTCTCTCTCTTTGTTTTATTTCTATTTTTTTTAATTTTCCATTCGTATTATTCGTATATTCGATATTAATTTTCCCACGAATCGTATAGACGTATTTTTTGTTCGAATATATATATATATTTGTCTATAAAGAAAATATGTGTCGATTGAAAAATTTGTTTTTTTTTAATTCGAATATGAATATTTTTCTTTCAGGTACTTCAATAAGACAACAAAGTAAAAGCTGGAGAGCCGAGCACAAAGCAGCGAGGACCCTTGGTATCATCATGGGTGCGTTCCTACTATGCTGGCTGCCATTTTTCCTTTGGTAGGGGATTTTTTTTTCTTATAATTATCTTAAATATTATTTTCAAATACTATCACACAAATTCAATATTATTTCTTACAATTGTATCGTACGACGTTCGATTTTATTTCTTCCTTTATTTTTCTTTTTATTTTTTTGCAATTGGTAATTTTTTAAAATTGGAACAAAATTCGAATTGTACGATTCAGTTATCTTTTTTTTTTTATTTTTCTTTTTAAATAATGTCAATTAAATTTTATATTCA